TTGTTCGACCGTCGTCTTTTCCATGCTTATCTACGGCGATAAGTAAATCGAACCAGTTTTGATCACCGCTTTGGTAACAGACAGTAGCTTCGAGCAGTGCCTCCAGCGTTCTTGGTCCTGTTAGCATCTTAGTTTTGGCTGAAGATAATCATAGTCTGGGGCGAAGTTCATTGAGCCACTTGCTCCAGGTCATTGTTGGCGCTCACCGCGGTCTTTGCGCCGTTTTTCAAGCAAGTGTTTCGTTCTTTCCGAAAGCATTCGCAAGTCTTAGCCAGGTCATCCCAGCTGTGACTTTTCCGCCTGGAAGGACTGCAGTGGCTCTATACCAAGGTTTATTCAGATATATCTTCTTCGGACTCGATCAGGACACATCCAACGGCTCGTGACAGAACGTCAGTTTTAGTCCTTTGTACCCGGAATCACAGATTTTCACTAATGGCACATGACTCATGAGCGTAAGAAGGCGTAGAGATAAAAATGACTTGAACAGTGACAGCTTGTTCTTCAGACTCAGGTCTGCCTTAGTCACAGTTGTTCTGGCTAATACACGCAGAAACGCAGCTTTTAATTCCCAGTTCGCTAGTCGATCTCTTCCACCCATTTTCTATCACCAGTAGATAGACCCTGAGGTACGTGAACTTTTCCACTGTTCCTCTGCTTCTCTGCGCAACGGGCAGGAGAATGAGAAAACAGACGCTTTTGGCTTTAAATTTTTTCAAACGCATTCCGACTGCGTCGCCCTTGGCTGCGGATCTTTGCAGAGAGCATTGGAGACCTGTTTAAGTAAATGTCTGAAGTCGTCTGCAGTCAGCGAGCCTTTCGCCTTCACATCCTATCTGACGCTCTCGTCACTCTGGTTGCGCCTGACTTATCGTTGTACAGCACAAACAGGAGGCAGCGTCATCACCGTTCCTCATGACGAAATTACAGTGAATGAAGCACATCGCGGTTTTCTGAATATCTTTTCAAAGTAGCTTGCGGTTTTCCCTCGTGGCTACTATTTAGTGTACACCTTGCCTAAATTCTGAATATTTATCCCTTCTCTAAATGTACGAAGAATTCACTAGCAAAGAACTCGCACATCACCTGTTGGAATTGTTCGGTAAGGGCTACAGGATGCGCGGGGAAGAATTATCATTACGAGTTGACTAAACGTGATCGACCGTAGGTGCTAGCTAGAGTCTCATTCGTCATCTTGGTGCAGACCATCGTTCATCAGTCTAACGCCATCCCAGTGACATCAGCTGAGGATTGCCATCCGCCTTGTACCTGATGATGCAATTAATTGCTTTACCATAATGTAAAATAAGTAGCAGAGTAATAAGTAATAAGTAGTAGATAAGTGGCAATATTAACATTTTCTCTTTTGGTACCGGATTGAAGTGGCGTAATGGCACCGCCTTGCTTCTAATCGCCTAAGAAACCATTTAAGCAGGCCACGGCACCATGGTATTTGATCACCTGCAGTGCATGGATGCGAAACCGCGTCACTGGGCGGTAATAAACAGGCCTGTTCGGACACCTGCAACTACGCCACTATCCGTAGGCATATTTATACATAAATTGGCAGTATTCTGTTTTCGTTATACTACAGTTTGTTCCACTGTCGATCAAGATTTCTAATCCTCGATCACGATACATACATTATAGTACGAACCGAAACGTAACGACTAAGTTTGTTCACTTGTTTTTCTCGACGACCGTTGGATCAAACTCTTTGCTATTTTTCTCCTGATTGTTGAGATTGTGATAGCATACATTTATTTGTGACTTTATTCTTTTTTGAAATTCTCGTACCTACACTGTTAGTTTATTCCACCGTCGATACTGCTGCTGAAAATCAAGGCAAGTAATCAGGTAGACAGTTGTACAGGTTGAGATTTGAGTGGCAACACATCTCTTAGTCAAGTCGAAGGTAACACGCAGTCTGTTGACCAGTTAAAGCTCATTCTTGTCTTACATTTTGTTTATACTTATAGCGAATCTGAAACTCTGCGCCACTGGAATCCGAGCAGTGCCAGAATGGAGTGCTTCCAAGCCATCTACCCGTTGGTGCACGCATTCATGCCTGTAGAATCTCATAAGCAGTTCCTGAAGGCTGCTCACAACGACCGGCTCGTGCAGCTGCTGTTGAAAGGGCTGCTGTACGAGACTGCCGTCGAATTCTGTCAGACAAGGGCGTTCTCCGAAAAGGCGCTCGGTGACATAAAAGTTGACAGTGTGCTTGATGGCTATCCACTGGACAACGTTGACGCCAGTCTTCTTGCTTGGCTCGAACAGTTGTCAGCGCCGGTTTTTAAAGTTCCCTTCGAGCAGAAAAACTTGAATGTGCAGCTTGCCCCTTTGAAGAGGCCCGAACTGCAGGCGCATTGGACTCAGCAGATTCTGCTCTCTCCGATCGTACCGCAGAAGTTTCCTTTCACCGCCGTGCCGCTGAACCGGATCAAGTCCGCGGAGAAAATGAGTCGATCCCTCATACCGTATTACGACGGCCTCACGTCTGGTCTAGGTATGATAGATGTGATGCGTACGTACGCTCGTACTCGTAGGTGTTGCATGGAAAATCAGCTTGCATGCGC